TTATTCAGCCATAAAAAAGAAAGAAATCTAGCCATTTTTGACATGAATGGACCTAGAGGATATTATGCTAAGTGAAATAAATCTGTCAGAGAAAGAGAAATACCATATGGTTTCACATATATGTGGAATTTGAAAAACAAAACTAACAAAAGAAACAGACTCAAACATGAGAACAGACAGTTGGTTACCATGGGGATGGGGGAAGTGACAGGTGAAAGAGGTGAAGGGAATAGAGGTACAAACTTCAAATTATAAAATAATTTAGTCACAGGGATGCAAGTATAAGATAGGGAATATGGCTCCTAATATTGTAGTATCTTAGTATGGTGATAGATGGTAACTACATTTATCATAGTGAGCATTTAACAATGTATATAATTGATAAATCATGAAGCTGTTCCTCTAAAACCAATATAATGTTGAATATAAACTATATTTCAGAAAAAATGATTATTTAAAAAAATCTAAGAAAGAATGATGCTGCTCTAAATATTTCTGTAAAAATGCACTGGTAAACACTGGCTCACATTTCTATTGGAACTGGTAGAGCCACAGGTTTGTATATGTTCAGCTTTAGTACAGACTGCCCAACAGTTTTCCAAAGTAGTGATATCAATTTTCATTCCTACCAGCAGGGAATGAGAGTTTCCATCTCTTCACATGCTTTCAACATTTAGTATTGTCAGTTTAAAAAATACCAGCTATTATAGTGGGTGTGCAATGGTATCTTAGCCTGGTTTTTACCTGGCACTTCCTGAAAAAAGAATGAAGAAAAATTAAGAGTCCCAGAAACCTCTGCGTTCCCATCAAATGTACTAATACACACATAACAGGTGTTATGAGCGATAAATAAACTCAAGAGATTCACATTGAGACAAATCATAATTTGCATTTCTCTGACAAATAGGTCAAGCACCTTTAAAAATGCATACGACTGCCTATTAGATAGCCTCCTTTGTGAAGTGTGTATTCCAGTCTTTTTTGCCTTTTTGTTCCAGAAGGTAGTCTTGTGCTTTTCTTACTGATCTGTAGAAATCCTTTATATATCATAGACACATCTTGTGGATAATATTTTCAATTCATTTATCCTGATTAATAAAAATGATGGTGCTTGTAAAAAAAAAGTCAATATATACTTCTAAACCAGACTGCACACATGAGATCTTCTAAGCAGTTAGATACATCAGTCTGGAGATCAACACATGGGTGTGTCCCACAGGTCTTTCAAAATCAACTGAATATATTACCTTCTGCTCCTGTACTCACTATCTTATGTAATGGCACAGCCTAACCAAGAACCTTAAGGAATCATCCCCATATCTCTACCAACTCCAATCCATTCAGTTGGAATCTAAGTCCTACAGAATCTATTTAACTTCTCTCAAAAGGTTTCTTTTCCACCCTATTGCCATTGCTTTATTTTAGGTCCTTACAATTTTCTCTCCTGGAATGTTTTGGTAGCTTTCTAAATAAACTTGTCTCATCTACTTTTAATTCACCTTCCACTATGTAATCAAATCTGATCACTTCTTTTTAAGGACCTTTAGTGGTTCTACAAAATGAAGCCTGAACTCCTTAGCCTGCCAAATAAGACATTCTATTACTTGATCTTGATTCCTACCAATTTTCCACTGTTCTGTCCACATATAAACTAAGGTCTCAATTATTTGCAGTTCCCAAAACGAACTATATTATGTCTGCTGCCTAGAATGCCTTCGCTCTTTTTTGTCATCACTTCACTGCTCCCCTAATGAACTTGTAGCTCACCTTTCAAGAGCAGAATAAAGCATCACTCCCATCTGAAAGCCTTCTTCACTTATTCTCAATTAGCTATTCCCTCAATATTTGGTGTCAACCTGTAGCTATATTTACGATCATAAAGTTTTGCAATGACTAGTGCTGGATTCTCATTTAGGAAAAGTGATGCTCATTCATCTTATAATACCAATTAATGCAGTTCCTGATACCTAGTGAGCATTCACTGTACATTAGTGGAACAAGTAATCTTAAAAGTCTTTAACCTGAAACAAGTAATAAATCTTTTGAGTTATATAACAATACACAATGTCAATTTGTTTTATAAATGTTGTACTGCTAGAACCTTTTAGTTCTCAAAGAAGTATTACAACGTTCCATAAATCACACAAGGCAGGCAAATACAGATTTTTTTCCCTACTCAGTTGATTCAACTAGCTAATGTTCTAGATTAGAATAATAATACCAACAACCTTTTCAGCATATAGTTTTAAGCAAAACTTCTTTTTGAAACTAAATGAAAATAACTGAATAAACTACAAGCAATTCCTGTGGGAATGAGGCCACCTGAGTCACTAAATAGTTCTTGTTTCAAGCTATATTCTTACTTAATACTGCCTATAAAATGAAATTAATACTATTTACTCTATATTTAACTTCTGTATAAAAAAGATCTACTTAATGGACAACTTAACATCTTAATGGATGTGATTCTTTGGATGATTATGTGGTTCCGAAGTATTAACCATGACAGGTTTGAAATGGACCTTTCATAATGTGTAACAATGATGCATTCTACTCTCGGCCCCACCTTACCCCAATCCAACTTTTGTTCACTGATTTATATACTAAATATATCTTTTTATTGTAGAACAGTTTTAGATTTATAGAAAAGATGATATTACAGAGCATTCCTGTAAATCCCATACCCAGTTTCTCCACTGTTAACATCCTTTAATACTATGGTACATTTATCACAACAAATGAGCCAATACTGATGTTATTATTAACGAAATTCCATACTTCATTCAGATTTAATTTTTCCCTAATGTCTTTCTTGTGTTCAAGGACCCATCAGAATATCAAGTTATATCTAGTTGGTTATCTCTCCTTAGGTTCCTCAGGTCTGAAATGACATGATCAGAAGAAAAATAACTCACTTTGAACTCATGCTGTGGGAAGTACAATGGAGGAGAGCGCTAACGGATGCAAGGAATCCAGATGAGAGGCTGTTTTGAAAGACAGTGGCCTACGGTAGGAGTGGCCAAAGAATGGAGAGTAACAGATAATTTCATCCATTAGTTAGGAGGGAGAATCAACAGATTTTAGTAACATATTAAAGGCAGTTTGAGCAATAGAAAGAGATGAAGATGTGTAACACTCAATCAATGAGATGCTGGCCATTACTGATAGACCAGCAGATGAAAAGATAATGATTTCTGTTTCCTGTTTGGGAGATGCTGAGTCTGAGGCATTAAAACCAGACATGATAAAAATAAAAAGACTAGGGATAGAACTTAGAGAGTAATCACCATACAGACAGAATTGACATATAGGTGACTGAGACCACCTAGGAACAAAGTGAGTAGTAGGAAGAGATAAGGCATAAATGGAAGTTGAAATGCTGAGGACTAAGACTTAAGAGGTCTTTAGCTATCCAAGCATGTTACAGAATATGCCAGTGTTCATACCAAGGGCAACACTGGCAGAGTAGAAGCAATACCAACCTAGCTTATAATTTTTCTAGCCAAGATTCACATGCTAATTAAACAGGTCCAAGAACACAAATGAAACACCATAACCTACATCAATTCATCCTAGGAGCAGAGTGGTTTGGCAAAAAACCAGGTCCCAAAAAGACAATGTAGGGTTCTAGCCTGGCTGTACTAACTACTACTTCTGTGATATAGACAACTAAATATCCAAGTTTTTTCCATGTAAAAACTGAACTCTTAAAAGGTCATCTATAAGTCAAAGACTCAATGATTCTATTCAGATTATTCCACAGTCAAGCTAGACATACAACCAAGACTTATATATTATAAAAAGATGGTTTACAGTAGGAGACAAGACCATGAGCTTTGGGTTCAGGCAAACCTAGAACTCTTTCATCTATTAAACTGTGAAAAGACAGCAACTTGCTTAATTTCTCTACACATCAGTTTTAATAGCCCTAAAAAGTAAGTAACATTAAAACCTACCTCATAGAATTTTCTAAGTAAATGAGATAAGGAACACATTAAGTGCTTTTGCCCACTGCCTAATACATAAGAACACTTATCAAATGTTAGTTAACATTACTGCTTTAAATACCATTAGTAATACACACTAAAATCCATATATAAAACATAGCACCTCCAGTGAGCCATTCAAAGCAGTGGCTGCCACATACTAAAATATGAACCTTTCAGAGAAGAGTAAAGAGAAACCAGAATGGCTTGTGGGACTTAGCCTCTATACCTGGAGGTCCTGCAGCGGCTGCATCTTCCATAAGTTCTCCCTCTTCCAATTCCATGTTGTTGTATTCCACATCATTTTCACCAGACCTAAGAATATACAAATTCATCATTCCCATACAGTAAGTACAATTAACATTATTAGTTACAACTCAACGAATTTTATGATAATATAGTACATAGCTTTCTCCTGTGAGGATAGGATATTTTTAAATACAAAAATTAGGAAAAAGATTTGTCATTACTACATGTATGGGTAATATTGATGTTCAACTACCTTTTAAAAATTCCAAGACAGGTTGGTAGCACTGAATTTTTAAAGTAGAAAATCTGAGAACCACTGTAAGCAGAAGATATAATAGCTTCAAAGAATTTGTAATTTAATGGTAACAAATTAGGCTTAAAACACTGAATTTTAAGGCGAAAAAAGAAAGATGCTCTAATTACTGTATGTGATTAAATACTATTTTCTTAAAATACTTCAGAAAAGAGGATGTTACCTCCTATGAAAGTCCTCACAAAGTCACTCATATCAAAGAACATTTTTTATTGTGAAAAAGTATTGTATGGACTAACACTCATCAATGCTAGTTTGGGGTATTTAAAGATATTTCAAGATCAGTTCCCAGCTTGACACTGAGAGAGCCCTGCAGATCTACTCCCCAGTGACACTGGTTAAAATTACTTTTAAAACAACCATTTACTCTGGACATAGTTCTAAGAGCATACAGAAAACAAAACAAAACAAAAAACCTTCTCAAGAAAATGTACTACAATTTGGTAACGACAGTTGAGTTTCTGACACTTGACCCAAGACTACTCCCTCCTTCTTCCTCTCCCCATTCACTGATACAGAAATTCTACTCCAGATTGACAGAGCCAAGAACACAGGGCTTCCATTTCCCACAGCTCCCAACAGAAAGGCTTTATTCCCAGGAGAGGCAAGATACCAGCACTTCTCATCCAGCCCCCAGATACCTGTTGCTGAAGCTAAGGTCAGGAACATATGTGGCCAAGAGGTGGGAATTCTCTTCCTCCACCCTGACCCAAGGTCTATTTTGGGTGCAGCTTGCTGTGAATACTGGGGAGATCACTCTTCCCCAATTCATTTGTAAAGCAGAGGTCCCAGTCCTGAGAAGACAAGCTCAGAAGATCTGAGGCTGCAGTCCCCAACTCCCCACCCCTATGGGTTCAGCTTCTAAAGCAGGAGAAATTAGCACACCTTTTGTCCTCACTCCAGCTTCAGAGTAGTTCATTGGTTTTCCCTGGTAAGAGA